CCCACAGAAGGTATGAGAGTGAAAATCTTCAAAACTTTGCCTAGAAAATCGGATCTTCAAAACTCTTCAAGAAAACAATAAGAAATTGCTTCGAGTGCGAAGTTCTTGACTGGAATAAGATATTGGTTAATTTCTTTATCATCTTGAATGAGATGGTTGCAGGTCCTTGTTTTTGGTGTGCCGTACCTCATATTTTCGTTTGTTCACTTAAATGTTTAGCCTATTAATGATATTCGCCCAGTTTTAACTCAGAGATTTTTAATACTTACCTGATGTTTGAAGAAGCCACTAGTTGACCACTGATTAATTTTCGGAATGTTTTTGAATGGTATAGCTGACAGCCATGCCATCGGCATCGGTAGTGAATATCCCGCATCCGCAGTACTCAAATGTATGATGGTATTTTTTTATTCAAGTTAGCTGATCGGCCCAGCGAGTCAGTCGATGGCCTTCCAACTATTCTTTTGACTTGTCATGAGTAACAGCCTATTCCTTTCTTCCATCTGTTGCCTCTTATCTTTGCTACATGACCAGTCCAGCTTCGTTTTTTTTTTTTTAGATTTTTCATTTTTCACATTTATGGCTATCTTTTTAACGTATTTTTAAACTGAGCGTTAGTTTTTGGCAAGTTTCCATCGCCGAACATTCTGACGAGGTTGAAAATACCCTTTTTACGAGTAAGAGTCTGTAAATTTATGATTAACCCTGAAACATGGATATGCAGTTGTCGCCTTTTCTCAGCTCCCTGTTTTTTTACCCGTTCTTCTCCCTTCCCATGTTCTCGTTAGTCCTCTCTCCTCCTACCTGCATCATCCCCTTCTTTCTCCTCTTGAGGATTTTGTTCCAAGAACCTCAGCTCCCTTCAGTACAATTTTGCTGAGTTGCAGTTTTCTTATTAGCTTTTTTTTTCACTTTTAAACTGAAGTTATAATTGCATAGAGTGCTACAACATTCGTAATCACTGGAAGTGTTTATTAAGAATTTATGGAAATTTAGTGGGTTTTGCTTGAAATTTGAAAGAACAGTTCAGTTTTTTAAAGAAAATAAAAACAAAGGCAATCCTCACAGACGCTATCTTCACAGAGGCTAAAAACAGAGGCTATG